AAAAGAAAGAAAATATAACCATTTGGAAAAAATAACAGAAAAATGATTTACTTTTTAAATTTCAGTGTCTTCACAAATACTTGCTGTAAGTGCATAATAGAAACTCACATCCTCTAGCATTTCATTAAAACTATCAACATTGAAAGTGAAAACATTAACTATTAAGTTATTTAAAACAGTGTATTTCCATCCATGAAACACTTGACCTTCTAAATATGGAGAACTGACCAACCAATATGTCACTGTGAACAGGAAAGTATTTCAGAAACTTTGGAAAGAAAATTCAGTGCTCTATACCTTGTTTTTTGCCTCAGCATCGGCACCATGCGAAAGCAGTTTTGCTGCTAGTGAAGACTTTGAACTGTAAACTGCATAATGCAGAGCAGTGTTGCCCTTGGCATTGGCAATATTTGGATTTGCACCATGTTCCAAGAGAATACTAACACAGTCTTCCTCGTAGCATTTTACAGCCTGTGGGTATTGTAACAGAGGAGACACCATCAACTCAAGAAACTCCAAACACACTTTCCACATGCCTGGCCAAGGAGTTATATTCAAATTACATCAACTGACTTTGATTTTCAGCATTTAAATACAATCCCTTCCATGCTGAAATTGTTGGCTGCTATTTACCTTAATCAGAGCGGTGTCATGGTCACTGTCCCAGGCATTAAGGTCAAACTTTTTCTGTATCAGGAGTCTCACCACTTCTGGATGGCCATAGGCACTGGCATAATGCAGAGCAGTCCTGGGACAGTCAGAAAGATTATTAGGAAATTACAGCACTCCATTTCAAAATTCATAATTATTCATGGAATTGTGAACATTAAATACCTTTCACAATAAGTATTTAATTATCTTTGAAAACATAGAATGCTTAGCATCTCTTATTACTCACCTGTGAATGGAAGAGCAAGTGGGTGATGCTGCATTTGTGTGTGGTGCGGGGGATGGAAGCTGCTGTCTTGCACATACTAAACAAGATCCCTGCACTGCGCTACCTCCCAGCCTAGCGCAACCCACTGGAATAGAAAGAGCAGGCCTTGGATTTAGCTCAATTGGAATTTAATTCCTACTCTAAGTTCTTACTTTCTAGCCATCCCTTAGCCTTTCTGTGCCTCGGGATTGTCACCTACAAAATGAGGACTGAAAGCAGCTCTCTCACAAGACACCACTGTGATGGTTAAGTAAGAATCCACACAAAATTTTTTGAATAACTTCTCAAACAAGTAACAGCTCAGTAATTGTCTGATACTATAATGTCTCCTATTACTACTTAACAAAGGCAATATTTCAATTAAGTAAAATAAAATAATTCAAATGGACCTACCTTGTGGGGTTAGAATTATTTCAATAAGCCTCCAGACACTTTTTCTCATATTTTAACACCTCTGTCATTGGAAAGCCACACACAGCTCAGGAGACAACAGGTCTTGTGTAACTATAACCGGTGGTGTGGGAGGGCCCCTCCTGACCTTTGGAGTATGGGGGGCTTTTTTTAACATCAGCCTCTGTGTATGCTACTGATATAACACTATAACATAAACCAGCCTATAGAATGTTAAGGTATACCGGCCAGACTGGAAAATCCTTGCATGTGCCCATATAAGGGAGATGAAAAGACAAAAATTGTATAAAAGGGGGCAACTATACCATGTTAATCATGAATCTGCTGAGTTAGTGTCAGCACCAATGAAGCTGCCTCCTCGGGCAGCTGGAGTGCCCTGCCTCTCCATGTGAAAATCCCACAGCAGTGGCTTTTAAAAAGGTTTCTTCGTAAGGCATCATCACATGATTCATAGTAAAATCTATACATACAGATAATTTCTTTATTTCAGAAGAAGTAAAAAGTTATCAGAAATACCAATACACACACATAAAAATGAAAATTATCTGTGCTTAACTAATATTTCTGTTTTTCTCAAGGATTATTTTATTAATAGTCAACTTTCACTAGAGTTTCATATCTACTATAGAAATCAAGGATAAGAGAAAGGAAAGAAGAGCACACAGTACCGTTGCCAATACTAATCATAACATGCAAAATGCAAGGCACAAAAATGTCAAAATATAGAATACTCAGCATTGTTTCTGGGCCAATGAAACTGTTAGAAGGAAAAAATTTAATAAACTCCTAAATATTACAACTAGAATGAACTTCTCGATAATAAAAAAGAACAGAAAATGTCAAATGCCTGAAAATAACAAATTTTGCCACAATTTGTATACATTTTCTGTCTAAAACAAGACTGCAGCCTATCTATGTGTATGCAAAATTAAACTGACTCTTTGCTCAGTGGATATATGAAAGTGCATCTTTCCCTGTTAAGAATATATTGATGTGATGCCAATTTCTGTGATTATATATCACTCCATCCTATGAATGCACTGCAACTGATACAATCTCTTCTGTGAATCCATCACTATTTTAAGCAATACTGAAGAAATGAACATTAAATGCGTCTCTGTATGTCCTAAAGATATTCTAGAAGAGAGCTGATTGGTGGAGACATGCTTTCCTAGACTGGTATAGTACTTATATCAAATTTCCTATTTGAAAAAGTCATAAGCCATCTCCAGTTTTAAGCAGCAGAATAAACTTTTCTTCATTCTCACACTCTGTAACTGGAAAACATTTGATTCCTTTGTAAAATTAAATTCCCCTTATCAGGGACATTAAACATTTCTTTTTATGTTTACAGGTCACTTGTCAAACCAACCACATAATTTAGAGTTAAATATAGCTCAGCAGTACAGCCCAGGATATGAGGCTCACAGTGTTGCTATCTAGCATGGAAGTAAATTAGTATTCAATATTTTTCTTTGATGATTTTTTAAAAATTACCCTGTAAGTTTAAGATACATTTTTTATCTGCTGTATGTATGTATGATTTTGTTTCATCTGATGTATGATGTATTTTATGATGTATCTATTTATCTCTCCTTTATTTTATTTTATTTTATTTTATTTTTGGCACTGCAAATCTAACTCCTGACCTCACATTTTCATGTGGGCACTGTGCCACTGAGTTAATATCCCAGGCCCTCACAAGTATGTTTTTCATTTTGTTAATGATTTTCCAATATAAATGAGAATTTAATTTTTCTTTTGGTAGTCAACCTTGAGAATGCAGGTGGGGAAGGGGATGGCTGAGTGGTAGTGTGTTTCGCATGCACCATGTTCTAGGAGCAACCCCCAACACAAAAAAATGAATGTTCATTGTTGGTGTCATTCTTAGGAAGGCTCAAATAGGCTATGTGTTTTCTTTTGCTACTTTTCTCATTTTGTATGATATAAAATTTTTAATCAATACACCACCAGAAACTTTTGTGACATAAAAATCCAGGTTTTTTGGAAACACTTTACAGGCATTTCATTCATGAGTCATTCCAATTTTTCAACTTCTAAAAATCTGACAGATATTTGAATGTTTCCAGGTTTTCTACTAAGTTACATTCATTTATTTATTTTCTTTTGGGCTGTTGGAAAACAATTAATTTGTGAAAATGACTTACCGTGATACCTACGAAGGTGGGCTTTCACTACATTTTCTTAGTGACCCCATAGCGAAAGAGGCTATGGACACTCAAGTCTTATGCGATTTTTTAATTTAGCTTCTATAAAGCTGATACACAGAAAGCTCACATTTTGAGACTAACAGAACTTTCTAGTCAAGAACATGCAGCCACCTTCCCATCTCAGTTTTCTTATAAGGTTCCTTAGTAAAGAACATACATGCACAGGTGTACACTGATAGTAAATGGACACTAGATTTTCATCAGGTTAAGTTTCCACCCTAAGTTTGTAGATTACAGGAAACATGTCATAGTTCCCTTTTTAAATAATATGTACAACAGTACATCTCTTAACGTGATACTAAGAATAAAACTCTATACACGTGTTACCATGTTTAAATAGCTTTTCTGCAGTCAATAATGTAGTCTACACAGGAAGTATAAGTCCACTAAAAACCAGTGAATGTTTGGTTTTTATTTTGCAGCTTATGGACACCACCTGAGGATCGACTCTCTGGCCAGCTTTGCCTCCCAGGGTGGTGGGAATCCCCCTGCCCCCGCTTCACCCACTTCTTCCTCTCCTGCATCATCCTGGCCCCACTCACAGCCCCTGGGCCTGCAGCCCCATTACCTTTGCTTGCTGTCTGTGTAAACTGTGTCCGGTTTCTGGAGGAGACGCTCCACCTTGGCCTTGTCGCCCTTGCCGGCAGCCTTGTGGAGCTCGGGCACTGAGCTGTCAAAGATGCCTGGCATGGCATCCCCGTGACTCCTCCCATCGTCTCTGTTGCTTGGCGGTTTCTGGTCCTCACCGGGCAACCTGTAGACCCTCTTCATGGAAGAATCTCAGGCCCCTTTGACCTCTCACTGACTTTCAATGAATGCCCAGCAACCTCTTTTATCCCTAGGCTCTAATGGCCCTGTACATGTGCCTTTCCACAAGTCCTGAGCAAGAATCACAACCACCTCACCCGCTCGGCTTCTGAGTAAGAAGCCTAACCGCTTCTGCACGTGCCGTGCACGGCTCCCGAGCGAGAAGCCTAACCGCTTCTGCACGTGCCGTGCACGGCTCCCGAGCGAGAAGCCTAACCGCTTCTGCGCGTGCACGGCTCCCGAGCGAGAAGCCTAACCGCTTCTGCACGTGCACAGCTCCCGAGCGAGAAGCCTAATGACCTCTGCACGTGCAGGGCTCCCGAGCAAGAAGCCTTTAATTCTATAACATGAACAGCTATTTCTAAGATGACAATGTGTAACTTATCAACCAGCAATTTCTTACCATTTGTTTTTCTGTAAGTTTGTATCATTTCTACCCCTTTTTAAAAATATCCATGTCCATGTATTCTTTTGTTTCCTTAGGGTTAGGATTAGGGAATAGGCAGGGCACCGGAGCTGCTGAGAACGGACTGGAGAGGGCTCCCTTCAGTGGCTCTTACCCTGCACTGCCACACAGAGGGTCACGACGAGGGGACGGAGTTGGGTTTAAGTAACAGCACCAAGTGGGAATAAGAGAAATCAGGGTTTCTCAACCCAGAACCATTTTACACAAGATCATGTGCCTTTATGCACTTCTCTTAGCTCGGCAAGGGGAACAGCACCAGCAAAGAGGAGATTTTAAGGCTTGAACGTTGAATCTGGCTGCCCTCGGTTTCCAGCGACGCCCAGAGGGGCTGAGAGCCTCGGCCACCAGAGGGCGAAGGACCCCTGCCTCGCGCGTGCGAGCTCCCGCAGAGGCTGAGCCTAGAAGCGGCGGCTTAGGAAACCGTGGAGGATGGGCCGGGCCGAGGGGGATTAACAAGACGAGTGCGACTCTTGGCAATCGCTGGACGACTGATCAAATGTCAACGCGAGGTCTGCCGGCTCCGTCACGATCTGCCTGTTTCGTTTCAATGGGGGAAGCACTCCTGTTCCTGCCCCACTATTTTTTTAAATGCAAAGAGATGGATCAACACTTGCGTCTTTATTCTATTTCGTTCAGGGCCGCGGAACCCCAACGAAGCACTCCCGCCCCATGACGTCGACACGCCCACCGCCCCGCCCCCTGCGGGGCACGGCGCGCCGATGTGACGTAACGCGCGTGTCAGCGTCAGCGCGCGTGGAGCCCGGAAAAGGCGCGGACTGTGAGCTGGTACTACGCTGCGGTGCGGCGCCTCCGTACCCATGGCGCTGTGGCGCGGCTCCGCCTGTGCGGGCTTCCTGGCGCTGGCCGTGGGCTGCATCTTCCTGCTGGAGCCGGAGCTGCCGGGTTCGGCGCTGCGCTCCCTGTGGAGCTCGCTACGGCTGGGACCCGCGCCACCGGGACCACTGTCCCCCGAGAGCCGCCTAGCGGCCGCCTGGGACACCCTCATCGTGCAGCCAGCCCGGCGCTGGCGCCGTGTGGCCGTAGGGTGAGTGCCCACGGGGCCTGGATCTCTGGGCCTTCAGGGTCAGCTTTGCAGGTCGGGCGGCTGTGCGGTCGAGAGGTCGAGACCCACGGGGTTCCGGCGTCCCCGGGAGGCATAGAACGTCTGGGATGACGCTGTCATCTCTGCTGCAGGGACCCAGCAGACTGCCAGTCCACCCCTCTGGCCCCGGTTCCTTGTCACCTTTGTGGGATCAGCATACGTAATCTCTTGCGGTTCTTTTCATGCCACCGTTCTGCTCGTACTTCCTGTCCCCAGCCTTCAACCCCTGCCCCTTGGTGACTGTTCTTGGCAGAGGTGCTTCATTTTCACATTTTGACGCATTTTTTCATTTGCTTCTGAACTTTTTGAAGATGAATGGCCTCTACCTTTACCGACTTCCTTCATGTCTTCCATTTCCATTGTTTTCCATTTCCATGCTGGGATGACAAGAGTGCGCCTGGCTGGTGTGTTTGGTCAAAGCCTTTCTTCTACCTGTCCAGGGCGGAGATCACCACTCTATTGAAATTCCTGAGTTTCAAATTCAACCTTTTAGTCTGCATATTCTGCTTTCTGCAGCCTTCTACGCGTTTAACACATCCTTTTTGAAACAGTTTTCTTCCACTTAAGTGACATTGCATATTTAAGGTTCTTGCAAATCACAGTGCTCCTGTCTTTGTACTCTTTTGTAATTATTTCCTTTTCACTAACTTTTGCCCCTGTCTCGATACCACTTGACTTTCGTGGCTGATTTCAAGAGCATTGTGCAAGAGCAGACATGGCAAATACCCTCCGACTTTGTGGGAGTGTTGGAGCCAGGAGGGATCAGACAGAGCAGTTACTTTGCAGACTGAATGAAATAAGCCATGTTCTCTAACTAGCATGATGTCTGCTTTTGAAAGCCCTCAAATGTTATCAGTACATGCATTAGTCAAGGTGCGTCTCCTTTTGCCACTTTCAAATTCAGGCTGTTTTCACTCACCTTATTAGATCAGTTACCTTCCTTGTCATTATATGAGTACACTTAACGAATACCCATCAGCTGCGTGGTTCACTTAGGTCTGTGCTAGCTTCTGAGGACACAGATACAGGGAAGCAAGGTCCCTGCCTCATTTACTAGGAAACAGATACTGTATATGTGTTATTGAAGTAATCATCTTGCTGCTAGAACAATACGACAGGCTGATGACGTCAACAATAGAGATTTATTTTCTTTCAGTTCCAGAGGCCCATAATCCAAAGTTAGGGTGCTAGTGTGTTTGGGCTTTTCGCTTTTGTTTTTGTTTTATTTTGCTCACTAGCCCATTATGACCTTGGACTTAGCAGTCCCCCTTGCCTTAGCCTCCAGAATGCTGGGATAACAGAGAGTATGCCACCCTGCCTGGCTGGTGTGTTTCTTCTATTTGCAGTCTACCAGCTTCTCAGTGGCCTCGTGCATGTAGTACCAAGAGAACTTGCTTCTGTGAAAAATTAATTCCCCCCACATAAATAGCATTAAAGACCAAGAATATAAGATACTAGGGCAGCCACAAGACCTATAACAACAGACCCAATGAAGATGCTGATCTGATTAAAGCCACTCCTCACCTTGTATGTTGCAAGTCGATCTAAGAAAGTCAGTAATTTCAGCCGACAGCGGCAAAGCTCCTTCTGTTCCAGGCTCCACCTGTTCAGGTAACCACATTGAACCACTTACACTTACAGAGAAGAACATTTCTCCGGGAGCAAAATCCAAGGGAAAACAGTTACTACCCTGCAGAGCCCAGAGTTCTTGGTACAGCAGACAAAAGCACAAAGGTAAAACAACCCCCCACGCATTTCAGTCTCTGAAATAAGTCACAGGCATCATCACCAGAAGAGAACATGGTGAAACCAGCAGTTATTTCAGGGGATCTACCACGTCGGCAGGAACAGATGGCTTACTCAGAGAAACTCAAGAGTTTAAGCAGCTCGTGTCTCTCCCTGGACACCTTCTCCTTCCGCTGCTGGGCAGGCTCCTCTAAGGTGGGTGACAGCACCTCACAGGCAACAGTGTCAATGTCCACGTCCCCAGGCAGTGTAAACCTGCAGCAGCAAAAGAAAATGCAAATCCACTCTGATTTGCTTTTATAGTTTCACGAAAAGTTGCTTTCTCATATTTCAGGTGATTTACTTGCAACTTACTTCCCAGTTAATTATTAACTAATTATAAAGCTATTAAATGGCTTTCTAGCTCATTGTTTAAAAAAAAATTCCCATTGCAAGCAAAACTGATTTATACATTAAATCCATAGTAGAGATAGGAAAAAGTCATCCATAACAGTCAGAGATTTTAAGTCAAGAAAATGCAACCATTAAGAAACACATGAGGTGCGGTCTTCAGCCAGTATGTAGCAGAGACAGTGCTGCCCACAGAACTCGAAATCTGATTATTCCAATTTATGATTTTTTTTTTTTTTGCTCTTTTTCATTTTTATCGGTACCAGGGATCGAACTCACAACTGCCTGCTTGCAAGGCAGGCGCTTATGCCGCTGAGCTAAATCCCCAGCCCCTCCAATTTATGATATTAAAATGATAGCGAATGTTGGCCTTCCGGAAGTCAGTCATACCTGCTGACATGCAAGACTGCTGCCACCACGCTGGCTCTGGTCAGGTCACTGTACTGCCACTAGTATCAAAAAGGGGCACACGAATGGTGCTTAGAGGCTTTGGAGGCACTTTCATATGACATACAGCACCTCTCCCAAGGGAGAGGCAGCAGGCAGAGGCCAGCCAGTGGCACTCACCTGGCAGCAGGACAGGCCTGCTTAGCATCCTAATCCTGCCTCTGAAATGGCCCTGCTTCAGCCAGCAAGGACAGAACCTGTGTCCCCACAGCATCCAGTCAAAAGGTGAACACGCTGAGCACACAGGAAGAAATCTGCTCCCTCAGGTCACAAAGGGATGTTTCCCAGCATGACAGCTCCCAAGCACCTGGTCCTGGTGCAAAGCCTCCATCACCTACCTGCCACTGTCCGCTCCACTGCCCAAGGCAAGCAGGGCCTCCAGGTTGGTGCCTTTCAAGCCATACTGCAGCAGCTCCTGGGCTGCCTCCATGGTCTCAGGAACACGCTCCAAACACTCATGGAGCACCCATGCGCGCTTCTTTATTTTACTCTAGAAAAAAGGAAAATGAAAGCAGAGGCGTTTAAGCATCATGGCATCTTACAGCACCTGACAACAGCTGTCCAGAGGACAAAGCTGTCCCCAAGGCAGCCAGCCCATCACAAGATGCCAACACCCACCCAAGCCCAAGCTGATGTCTGATCAAGTACAGCCATGCTCATGGCCACCACACACCAGGGCTGGTAGCTGGGCTCCCTGCAGCGCTCATCTGCCAACAAAATGTTCACCGGGCATCTGCTATACACCAGACCTCAACCAGAAGAGGTAGCATAGTGCACAAGATGGCTTGCAGTCAACTGCACACATCCTGCACACTATCCCTGAATCTGTACTCTTGGTTTTGTCTCATCTTCTTTATTCTTTTTAGAGGGAGGTGTTTGATTTCTTGGTTTTTTGACACTGTCATACTGTGTAGTTCAGACTGGCCTCAAACTCACAGCAACCCTCCTGCTTTAGCCTCCCCAATACTGAGATTATAGGTGTGCACCACAACGCCTGGCCCTTTACCCTCTTTAAGAATGTCTTCCAAGCATACACACACAAACAGAATAGAGAAATCCCAAAAAGCCTAACGATGCATACCAAGGTCCTAGAAAGACAAGAATAATCTAAATCTGAAACTCATAGAAAGAAACAAATAATAAAGGTCAGAGTAGAAATCAATGAAGTTGAGTCTTAAAAATAATGCAAAGGCTCAAGGCATAGAGTTGGCTCTCTGAAAGGATGGCGAGGGTTCTGAGGCTGAAGGGTCAATAGGAAGGGGCAAGCAGGGGCAGTGAGAGGCTCCAGACTCCATGTGCACCGGATGCCCATGGAGAACGCCATCACGGCACCTGGCAGACACAGCTGAGGGGGAGGGGCCCTTCCTCTCTCCTTCCGCAGAAGCCTAGACCGAATCTCAGCCTCCAGTCTGAACACCTGCCTGGAAGCCTTCCTTTCCCTCTCTGGGTCTACACTGCCCACGACCTGACCAAGCTCCCAGAGTTTCGTCTGCAATCTCCTTGCCTTGATCTCTACACATTTAAGTGTGAAGTTTGTCTCATCGGAAAGATTCTCAGCTCTTCCACAGTGAAGACTGTGCTTATGCCCCTCCTGTCCCTCTTCACAGTCACTGGCCTGTGCTCTTACTCCTAACTGCCTATTTGGTTCATCGAATTCAATGTGCCCCCAATTGAAACTTCTTGCTGTCTCTCCTGGCAGCTCTCAGCTCCTTCAGGAGCCCATACTGTCCTTCACTGTGTTTCAGGAAATGCTGTGCACTGAGGACATGCACTTAGCTCTCTGTCCTAGATGAAACGTAAGATTATGCAAGTCTGGCACAACAGTCTGTGTTTTCCCTTTCCCCACAACCCCCCTGCTTCCTTTGCTCTAGCATAACAACCAACCATTTGTTATTGTTGATACACTGTGTCAACTTGAGAACTTCAGAAGTTTAACTGAGACTCAGCAGGGAGCCAGGGCTCTTAATTTGTAAATATCCCCCTCTGTGCAAAGGAGGGCCAGGACATGTTGTGAGTGCTACACCTGCCCTGAAGGTGGGATGGTGGTAACCTGTGTACGATATAAGGCGGAACCACTTCCTCACTTCCCTTTTCTCTCGCAGCTACACTTCCCACTGAGGCTCAGGGATACCCTGGGTGGACTGCTTCCCGGGAATCCCGTGGGCAGCCTGGCCAGCCAGTGAGCAGCAATCTTCCTGCTGGCCCAGCTCCAGCGTCCTGAGCCTTGAGCAGCAGCTGGGTTCCTGTGGCAGTCCCGGGGGTTTTCTCAGCCACAAGTTCCACTCATGGTACCCTGGCAGTAGGCAACTCACTACCCTTCCCATCTCTGACTGCAACCTGGGAAACTGTGGCTGGGCCTGGCTGGACACAACCCCGACACACCATGAAAAGCCTGGGCCAAGCTCAGTCTGTCAATAACTGTCCAAACAGCTTTAGCTACAAAGTCAGGCTGCAGAGCAATAGCTCCTGACAAAAGCATGTTCCCAGATGAACACAAGCTCTTGCATCTGTGAAGTCCTCACCACAGAACTCGTAGAACAAAACCCAAGCCAAAAGACGCAACATTACCAGGTAATTCTGAATAGAGGCAACATTGACAGCTGACTTCCTCCACTGCCGCTGGTAGACGAGGTCCGTATCCAGGCCATAGGTGTGAGCCAAAGACAAGGCTCTCAATCTCTTCGCTCTCAATCTTTAGACAAAACACACAGGAGTGTCATATGGCTCAGGGAGCCACAGGGCCACCACATGACACGACAGATGAGTTCACACTCAGCACTCATGAACTCCTGTGTACACTATGGCATCCACAGCTCACACGCACTGAGGAGTAGATGAATCAGCGCTCACTTAACACTGTCAGATGAGGGATCTGTGGAGAAAGCTCTTGCTCAGAGTCCAATAACAGCAAACTAGTGCCAGGAGTGCCTCGAGCCCTACAGGAAAGGCACAGACAACGGGCACCAAGGCAGTGGCAGTGCTGGCTTCCCAAGAAAGCCCCCAACTAGGAAGCAGACCTGCCCTCACCATCTGAACCTGAACAGGCTGCTATGCTTGACACAGGTAAGGGGACTGCCTAAGGACAGACAGATAATATGCCAGCATGAATTCTTCTTTGCTCCTGTTTTGATTTTGATTACTCAGGTGCAAACGCCAGCATCAGTTTCAAAAGCACTGTGATATTAGGGTGTCTACCGCATCAGTAACCACACATCCTCGTTAATGCCTCCTCATCCCCATAAAGACACTGCCTCATCTTCCTCTGGAACAGCTCCTCGGGGGTGGTGGCACGCAGGCTCACCAGACGATAGTGTTTTGTAATGGTCTGAGGCCGCTTCCGCGGAGGCGCGAATCACTCCATCTCCGTCACCAGGTAAAGGCCCTGCTTTATGTAACCAAAGTAGCGAGCCTTGGCCGACATTCCATGCTCGGAGTCGGAATCCTCTTCCCCGTCATCTTCATCTCCTGCTCTCACCTCCAAACGAGGGCGCTTGGGTGCAAGTTTAATCTCACACTGGATAGACAAGAAAAATGTGAAATGAACAGGGAGGAGCTAACGTCAGCCTCTCAGAGTTCATGACAACAGCATTTTTAATTCTCCTGTGCTTCGCCTCATGCCTTGTGACTCATGCTGGAAACCAAAGGAACTCTGAAATGAAGGTCCATAGAGAGCTCTAGAAACATGCACTAAAGGGTCAGCTCCACGACTCCAAAATCAAAACCTACTAAGCAACAGTCTTAGTAGGTTACAACCAGCCTGAAAATATTACCTGTAACAGTCCTGACAAAGCAGCCCAGAATGTGAATTTCTGATACCTTTGAAATTGCTATATTTGCTGCAGAAAAATAAAATGATGCTTTTCATCTATCTGGGGAATGGATGTGCAAGGATTTATTTGCTTTTCCAAGAATAGCAGACGGCTAACCACGTCACCAAGTTCTCCCAGTCTGAATGCCTGGCTGCTGGAGATAACTTGCACACCAGGATTACCACAGCCAGCTCAGAGTACTGAGCCACTTCTCCTTAAAGAGCACCTTTAGACTCGGTGACAAACTCGACAAAAAAGTATTTGTCAGTCTATGTTGCTGAAATAAAAGCTACAGAGGATTTTATGAAAGGCAAAAACTTTAAAAGACCAAAGCATAACCTAAAAACCAGCCGCTATTTTCAAGCCTTCTGTCACAATAAACAAGTTTTTCTTCCCACAAGAACCAAAAAGTATCACAGTTTAAGAAAATGAACAGGAGGCAACACCTGAAATAGGGCACACCAGCCCACATTTTAAGATAACTAATCTAGGGAGAAAATCTATCATTTCAGTAAAAGAAATGCTTTTTCTTCATTTTCTTACAATGCAATTTTTTTTCAAAATTCACCAAACAATGAAATTTTTCTTTTTAAGTTGTTAAATTTTTCTTTTTAACCCATTCCAATCAGAGATTTTTGTTTTTAAAGACAGGATCAGATCATGAGACAACTAAAATAAGTGAGCTACTTAGATCTGGGAGCAAATGCATTTACTCTCAAGGAGAAAGCCTTACCTCCAGACTTAAAAGTCCCCCATCATGGGCAGCAGTGACCTGGGGCGATGGTTCAAACCACTCACAAGATCTTCCCAGCAAATTCTTCAAAGTTTTCACAGAGGAGAAACTGTGACAGTCCCGGAGGACCGAGCCAGAGTCACAGCACCATCCGCCCACCAACTGACATCTATCAGTGGGTAAAAGGACTCTTTATCTAATGGAAGAAAAGTCAGGCATTTAAATAAAGATAGCACATTTAACATAACGATCAACTTAGTCCAAACTCACCCTACTATTTCGGCCCTAAAGCTATCTAAAATAATGAGACAAAATAAAACTGAAGTAATCACTCAAATTTTTATTCAGGAAAGAGGCACAAAATGGCACAGGAATTCTCTGAAAGAATATCCAAGTGCTGGCAATTAGAGTCAAAGTACAAAGCTCTAGGGATACAGAGGTAAACACAGTCCTCCTCGCAAAAACAACAAAAAATCCGGAAAAGTTATTTATTCAGGGAAGACACATGTCACCATGTTCAAGTTGGTAAGGTAAAATCAGGTGTGTATGAACTGTGCGTACACAAAGGTTACAAAGGTTTTAGGAACTGAATATCAGTCACCTTCAGACAAACAACGAGAGAAATTACATCTTCTAAAAAAAATAACACAGCTATGTAACAGCTGCCAGGGCTGAGTTCCTCCCAACCATTTAACTTACAAAGAAAAACTATTCAAGATCAATAAAGAATGTTTAGAGATTAAAATGAATTACAGTACACCAAACTGAAAAATTCAACAGGAAATACTGTAATATTTATCATAATTTTACTGCACTTTTTTTTACCTTAGCTGCCCTACAAAGGGTGCATAATGGTTCACAGACAATGCATACAATAAACTATAAATTTTAAAATACATTTAAACTAAGGAGAAAGATATTTTTGCATTGCAACTTAGTACCATGAAAATAACTCATTATTTTAATAAAAACAAAGACCATAACACCATTTTCTCCCAACAAAAGCCAAACTAATTCATATAAATGAGCAATTTCCAGAGCATATTAATGCTGCTGGGCTTACATCCCTGAAAGTAGGAAGGAAGAGGAGAGTCATTTAATTTCATTCCAGCTTCCGCTTTGAGAAATTACTACTTTTCACAAAAGTCTTCCTGAATATTTTGGAGGACCATTTAACAAAAGCAGATAGCTCAAAGTATGGAACATGATATACATGACAATAATCAATATTTTCAGTGCTTTTTAAATTCAAATTTTAAAATACAATGTATATTTTGAAATTTGTGACTATCACTGATTTCATAGGAGACACAGAAAAACTCAGGGAAATTTAACTTTGATGGTTTCACCTAAAATAATGTGATCCTGGGGCTGGGGAGGTAGCTCAGCAGTAAATAGACTTCCTAGCATGCAATGGGCTAGGATTTAACTCCTAGCATCAAAAAAGAAAGAAGGAAGGGGAGAAGAGGGGAGAAACGAAAAAAAGAAAAATGACCCCTTCATCAAAATTAGAAAATTAAAGCTAGGCCTGTAATCCCAGCACTCAGGAGGCCGAGGCAGGAGGATCGTTGCAAGTGCAAGACCAGCCTGAGCTACAAAGTGAGCCCAAGGCCAGCCTGAACTACATAGCAAGACCATCTCAAAAAGACAAAAAAAAAAAATTAAAATACTCAAAATAACCCTTTGTAAGCCTGAAGTTTTTATTTATTGGTTATAACTAATTAAATGACAATTTATTTAAATGTAAATCTTTATTCTTCCTATTTATAAAGATTAAATGACTTCTGAACATGGTGGGACACACCTATAATCTGAGCACTCAGGAGGCTGAGGCAGGAGGATTGCTGCAAGTTCAAGGCCAGCATGAGCTACAAAGTGAATTCAAGGCCAGGACTGCATAGTGAAACCCTCTCTCAAAAAGACAACAAAACAATAAAATGAGTGCATTTTGAAAGCACAGCATTTCACAAATGAAGATAAACTTTTTAACCTGTCCTACCAGCCTAACTCTAACCTCCTCCCACCCAGAGAAAACTTCACCAGGTCCCCTGTGATGATTCTCTTGCAGCTAGCTCCCTTGGGCACATGCTCTAAATTCTAACCTCCACGTGCTACCTCAGAGCTGGCCCCATGGGATCTGCCTCAGCCTTGGGAAAGCTCTAAAATCAGAACCCTGGCTCTATTCCTAGTTCTGGCCCTGTGAACTATAAGTTCTTCTTCTAAAGTAAAGCAAAAGTATCTGGGAGACTTTTTATATCATCTAAAGGACACCTCATTATAAGAGAAGTCCCTTAAGGTTTTAATGATTGTATTTCTTACAACTCACCTTTTATTTTTTTTCTCTTCTCAATAGACAGCCTCCAATCTGGATTAAGGTCATCATAGCCTGGCTAAATATGAAAACATGCAGTGACTTCTTGGGTCAGCTAAATAAGAAAACTGTGGCAAAATCATCAAGACTTGTGGAATTTTTAAAATAACAGCACAAAAAAATAAAAAATAAAATAAAATAACAGCACACACAGTAGATACATTGCAATGATCTCTACCTTTCAACTAATGGAAATCTTCCTCACTATACCAGTCTAGAAAAGCATTTGCACTTAAAAAATTTTTCAGAGCAGGAATTACAATTCAATTTTAGAAAGAAAATAACAGGTACAAGAACAATAAATTCACAACTAGACAGTTAATACAAATGTAAGAAGGGTGCAGAAAAAATTCATTTTATGCACACACACACACCCCACAGCAGGCAGCTGTGTGGTTATGAACCAGCATGGGCTATGCACACCAAGCTTTCCTCCGTGTAAACTGAGCAACACTGCACACTCAGAGCCTCAACAAGCCAACTTGCATTCTACCTTCAACCTTCTATGACTGAAGCTTTACTATATAAAAACACATACAACATACACTTTTCAAATTGAATTCATTTACACTCTAACCTTGCCCAATGTAGGGTTATATTCATCTTTTAGAAAAACAAGCATATGACAATATCTCTCCAATTTTGTACAGCGATAGAGGTTAAACCGTTGCCAGACACCCCCGGGCTTAATGTTCCTTACTTCATCTCCAGAGCTGAAAGACTATGAGGAAAGACCAGTAAAAAAACTGAATATTTAGTTGAAATCTTAACTCTAAAAAAGACAACACAAAACAATAAAAAAGGGTCACCAATAGGGTTGCTGTACTTTGTAACAACTTACTACATATTTTATAAAAAAAAAACTTCAAGAGACGAGTTCACAGGTTCTCAACACTGAAGTGGCAAATATTCAGGGAGCCAGGATATGATAAATTTGATCACTGTACACTACATGCATGTACTAAAGTTTCACACCATAACTAACGTACCCTATACATATATACAATTACTATCAACTACAAATACTTAACATGTTATACAAAGAAATACATTTGAAAACAAACAGAGAGAAGACCAAGATGGTGGAGCAGTAAACAGCACAGAAAACAGCCTCTTTGAGAGCAGCCATCCAGACGCTGGAATATAGCATCATAAGGAAAACAAGGAGGAGGAATGTGGGTCCACTGAATCCAGGAAAAATCTGAAGGGCAAACTAAAGCTCACAGAAAGAATGAAAAGAAACACTTCCACCACGAAAAAGGTGGCAGCTGGTAACACCTTCTGCTTGAGACAGAACTCAGCATGAGAGGAACGGTTTGAACCTGCAGACACACAGTCATGGTGAGAGTGATGCTGGCAACCCCAGAAACCTCTGTAGAGAGATGCAGCAGTGGACATGGAGGACCCCACTGGCTGGCTCTCTCCCATGGGAGACAACAATTGGCCGGGAGCTCTTGGAGATGGGCCAGCTGAGCTCAGAACCCAGAACTGCTGCCAGCTCCATCTAGCAGAGCCTAGCTAGGCTCAGACTCTCAGTAATTGCTCAGACAGCAGTGAACACAATGTGTCTGGTCTCAGGACAGGCCTGCTGAGATTACCCACTAACCTGCGAAAAAGCTACTGCTGGCTTGTTGGGAGAGATCAGCATGATTCCGGACTCTGTCTTCACAGGCTGTCTATTAGTGAAATCTGAGAAAATCCTGAAAGTAGATCGTTTTGTTTTTCTTTTCATGTTTTTTCCCTCTTTCTCCTTCACTATTTTATATGAGTGAACGGGAAGTTCCTAACTTCTTTGTGGGTGTGGTTCTGTTCTGTTCTTGCTTTTATCTCTTCCATCTCTTTTTTCCTTCAGTCTTCATCCTCCAACTTTACTTGTAATCTCTTCCTCCCACTTCTCTATTCTCTCCTTAATGCATTTGAAAATTTAATCCCAAGGCCAAAATTGACACATGAAGGTCTTATATACTGCATGTAACTTTCTGATTTTACATTTTGTGATATAATCACAAGTCTAGTCCATACAGTTAAAAGTGGCAAATTAAGGGTGAGCTCAGTCTGTTGTTTTCTAGGCTGTGTTGATGCTACTGGTACCACTATAGCCAAAACTGACATGGTTGGTCCTGGTATTCCATGACTGAGATTAACTAAGGGTCACAGAAAATACAGTGCCACAGTGCCACAGAACCCGAGACTAGGCCAAACAAGCAACAACTTCATCCCCAACAAACTGAAGCGGTAAGATCTTCTAACAAATCCAAAACCCAAAACCAGCTACACCTAGAAGATACCTCAGAGACGTAGTCATCACCTAACGGTCCTAAATACTATCAAAAAAGCAACCCATCATAGGTAACTTACAAACATCATGCCAGGAATTAAAAGAGAAAAAGAGGGGCTGGGGATTTAGCTCAGCGGCATAAGCACCTGCCTTGCAAGCAGGCAGTCGTGAGTTCGATCCCCGATACCGATAAAAAGGAGAAAGACAAAAAAAAAAAAGAGAGAGAGAACAGAAATGAAAAGACAGCTAAACAAAATACAACTCCAGGCATCCAGTTCACCAAAGGCAAATCCAGGGGACAATGAGGTAGGACAGTATGAAAATCTGCCACGGGGCATCCCTAAAGTAGTAAAAACAAAGCAACTGAATGAGGCTCTGGAAAAAACAAAATCAGAAATAATCTCTCAGATAACTACAGAGATTACCAAAATACACACTATGCTTAATAACATTAGAGCAGACACAGACAAAAATAGTTGAGTTTAAGAAAAGCTCAGCATAGGAAAGAAATGAAATCCATAAAGCAGATTCAAGCAGATATCCAGGAGAATAAAAACTCCATTGAAAGTATTTAAAGAAAATTAGGACAATGTGAGGACAGGATCTCAGACATTGAAGATAGGCAGTTAGTAACCAGGAAAAGAAAGATTTCTCAAAAATAGCAAGGGACCATGAGAAATCAATCCAACAGCTGCTAGATGAAACAAAGAAGGATATAACAGGATTAATTGAAGTCAGTGAACAAGTAGGAAATACCACAAATGACATTTTAAAAAAAATGTTTGCAGACATCAAGGCAGAAAATTTTCTTGGTAAAGAAAAAGAATTTAACATACAAGTAAGGAAGGCATACAGCACTTCAATTAGCCATGATCCAAAAAAAAAAAAAAAAACTACAGCAAAGCATATCATAGTCAAGATTCCAGAAACTGGGAACACAAGAGTAGAATCTTAAAAGCTGTTGAGCAAAGAAACAAATCACTTATAATGGAAAGCCCATCAGAATCACAGCTGACTTCTCAACACAAACTCTCAAGTCAAAGAGAGCTTGGAGTGAAGTACTCCAAGTTCTAAAAGAAAACAACTTTCAACACAGATTGATGTACCCACAAAACTCTTTCAAAATTGAGGGAGAAATAAGATACTTTCATGACAAAGAACATCTGAGGAAATTTACGACCGCCAAACCAGCACTCCAAAATGTTCTGAAGGACATTCTAGGAAGAGATAAAAAGGACTATACCTCTATGAACCCCAACAGAAGGAATACACCAGGGAAGGCAAACAAATAAGAGCAAGGGGGAGAGCCAGCATCAGGAAAACAACATGACAAGGAGAAGTCAATACCCTTCGGTTATAACCATCAATGTTAACTGTCTTAATTCACCAGTCAAAAGACACAGACTGGTAGAACGATCACGACGCAAGGTCCAACAATATGCCACATACAAAAATACATTTAACTCAAAAAGAAATTCACAGACTGAAATTCAAAGGATGGAAAACAATATTCCATGCAATCAGAATCCAGAAAAAAGCAGGGGTAGCTATTCTATTTGCAGACAAAGTGAACTTCAAGCCAAGACTGATTTAGAGAGATAAAATCACAACATCCTTGTAAAGGGAACAATCCAAGAGAAAGAGATAACAATCACAAATATATATGCAACCAATACTAGTGCACCCAACTATATAAAACAATTACTAATGGACATGAAAAATCAAGCCCTAACACAACTGTTTTGGGAGACCTCAATACCCCACTGTCACAAAAAGATAGATCAACTAGACAAAAAAAATCAATAATGAGATATTAGAACTAAATCAAACTTTTGAACAAATGGACTTAGTAGATATCTCTAGAGTGTTCCTCCCTACAACATCAGAATACACATTCCTCTCAGCTGCACATGGGATATTCTCCAAAATGCACAATACAGACTCATAATACATGCTTAAGTAAATGCAAAGGAATTGAAACTATCCCATGCATACTATCAGACCATAGTGTAATAAGCTTGGAAATCCATGCTGTTGCAGTCAGGGGCTATGCAGAGAACAATTAAAATCAGGACATGGAATTTATAATATTATGTTATGACGTTCACCCAAGAGTTAACATAAGAAACTGTAAGAAATCTATCCACAACACCAAAGACATAAAATATTCAACCAATTCAACCAATTGAATCCCACAGCAATGTCTTCCATGAGTCCACATGAAGACCCAGAACGCATGACAGTGCCTCCCACAAGTCCGACTGGAGGTCTAGAGCCCAAAAGAAGGACCCACACCAGTCTCTTTTACCAATCTGTGCTGGGAAGGCCCAAAGGTCAGCAGTGGAAGCTAGAAAGGAAGCGAGTTGAAGGAGTTGAAGGAGTTGAAGGAGCTGTGCTGATAGGTTGATAGGTTCTGTGCTGGAGGCAAGAAGTCATGCTCAAAACAAAGACCAAAGCTGTCCTGAAAAGCACCACAGTCATCCTCAGCAACACAGAGGTCCCGAGCTCCTCCAACAACAAGCACAGTCAAGTGATGCCAGGAAGTCAGCACAAGTTTGTCCTGGAGATTAAGTGGCATACCTCCTCCCCTCCAGAGCCAGGAAGCAATACTCAATGTAAGGAAAGAGCTCCTCCAGGAGAACCAACAGCTGAAACATCAACACTTAGTGAAACCCACAATGCCTCATTGCCTCAATGCCTCTCTTCTTCTCCATGTCTCTATTTTTGCTGGCAACTTTCCTCAGGTGGAACACCTATGCTCAGCATCATGGTGATTTAATTCCGCTGGTGTTAAGTTGACCGCCAGTTTTTAATCTATAACACATGCCAAAGAAAACCATAAGAACCTCATAAACACATAGAAATTAATTGCACCCTTCAATGGGTCACAGCTGAAATTAAATAAGAACTTAAACAGTTTTTACAGTTGAATGATAATAATACATCATATCAGAACTTGTGGAACATAATGAAAGCAATCTTAAGAGGAAAATTTATAGTATTAAATACCTACATCAGGAAAACAGTGCAAGCACATATAAATACTAAACTTCTACCAAAAAAAAGACTAAGTCAAAACCTCATACAAGGAAGGAAATTATAAAGATCAGAGCAGAAATTAACACACTGGAGACTAAAAAGCAAAGATCCAATGAATCAAAGAGTTGGTTATTTGAAAGATTAAATAAAACTGACAAACTCTTAACCAATCTTATCCAAAAAAGAAAAGACTCAAATCCATGCAAATAGGAATGAAAAGGGTGAAATCACAACAGACCCTGCAGAAATCCAGAAAATCATCTATACCTACTTTGAAAACATATATTCTAATAAGATGGAAAATACAGAAGAAATAGACAGATTCCTAGATACATATGAATTACCAAAGCTGAATCAAGATATAAAAATCTTAAATAATCCAGTATTAATAAAACAAATCAAAGATATAATTAAAAACCTATCAACAAAGAAAAGGCCAGGCCCTGACTGATTCACTACTGAATTCTACAAGAATTCACTACTGAATTCTACAAGAAATTTAACCCTAACACCATTACTTCTCAAACTCTTTAATGAAATTGAAAAGGAAGCAATACTTCTGAATACATTCCTAGAAGCAAGCATTAATTCTCTGATACCAAAACCAGAGAAGTACCCAACTAAAAGAATTACAGGCCAATTTCTCTAATGAACATTGATGCAAAAATCCTCAATAAGATACTGGCAAACAGACTGCAGCAAATTGTCAAGAAGATTGTACATCATGATCAAGTGGGATTAATCCCAGGGATGCAGGGATGGTTCAACATATATAAATCCATAAATGTAATATACTATATTAACAGAGCCAAGGACAAAAATCATAGGATCACCTCAAAAGATACAGAAAAGCTTTTGACAAAGTTCAGCACCTATTAATGATAAAAGAAAAAAAAACACAGAAAATTGGAACAGATGGTCTTTATTTCAATTTGCTAAAAGCCATACTAAATGGATAAAAATGAAAGCTTGTTGCTCTCTAAAATGAGGAACAAGACAAGGATGTCCACTGTCTCAAATCTTATTCAACACGGTCCTGGAAACTTTAGCAGAAGCAATTAGACAAGAGAAAGAAAAAGAGTAAAGATAGAAAAGAAAGAAGTTCAACTATCGTTATTTGCAGATGATACGAAACTCTACGTAGATGACCCCAAAAACTCCATCAAAAGACTACTATATTTAATAAGCAAATTCAGTAACATAGCTGGTTACAAAGTCAACACTCAAAAATCATAGTCTTCCTGTACACAAAACAAACTCACTGAAAGAGAAATTAGGGAAACAACACTTTTCACACACACAAAAAAATGAAGTATCTAGGAATCAATCTAACAAAGGGTATAAAAAAACCTCTACATTAAAAACTACAGTGCTCTGAAAAAGCACATTGAATAAGATATTAGAAAATGAAGAGATATCCCATTCTCTCTCTCTTTTTTTTTTATTTTATTTAAGGAGAAAAAAGAAAAAAAACAGAAAAAGGGTACAAGTTATACAGAATTTCAGAAGAAATAAACAGTAGGAAATCATTCGTTAATTACATATTGTCATCTTAGAAATAGTTGTTGAAGTTACAAAATTAAAGCATATAGAGGGGACTTTCAAACAGTGAGACTGCAAACAGTTTTGTTCAATGATCCAACAAAACTCAGTAATATGGTTATCTATCTTATACACTTAAATATGCATGAAGTTATATCTTTTAGAGAACTTTCTTTTCCTTTC